CGGGGCGCGGATGGAGGGACCGCGCGGGAGGGGCTGCGCCGGGCGGCACCGCGGAGAAGCGAGGCCGGGGGCGCGCACGCTGCTGGCGGCTGTTGGCTGGGGAGGGTCGGAGGGGTCGCATGGGCAGAGGGAGAGGTGATGCAGCGGCTGGTGCAACACGGCGAGGGCCCAGAGGGAGTTGCCGGCTTCCCGAGGAAATCTCCTCTTTCATTGCGTGGGTTTGGGGGATTCTTTTGTTGGTGCTTTGTATTCTTTTGTTGGTGGTTTGTTTTACTTTGGAGAGGGTTGGTTGGTTGGTTGGTTTTTTTGTTGGGGTTTTGGTGGTACTACTACTAATTATCATCATCATCATCATCATCATCATCTTTATTATCATTATCATTATGTCATCTTTTTTTACGCCCTGGAACTGAGGTTTGCTGAATTCTGCACAGCCTGTGGGAAAATGGAGGTATAATCTCATGAGCAGAGCACACCCATGGACCAGGTCTACCACAACCATGGGAGAAATGATTGGGAAAGCCATTTTCCAGCGTCAAACCCGCCTGACTCTGTGTTGTCTCCAGAACTATTAGAGAAAGCCCAGGTTCTCAAAATCATTGGGTTTAGCAGCATGGGAAGTGTTTGTTTGTGCCAAACATTTTCTATATCTGTTGCGCTTCTAACTTGGTGCCTGTGGCCTACAGAAAAGTGAAGAATTGATTGTAAGGGATTTGCATGAAGCCTTAGCCAAGGTCCTGGCCACTTTTGAACACATGGAGTGATGATTGTCACACCAAGGGTCAGAAGAGCCCACTAAGGGGCATGACATAATTCTTTGAGAGTGGTTGTGCAATTTTATTTTTTTCATATCTGGGGTGTAAACATAGCAACTTAGTTTTGAACTGAAACTTCAGAAATAAGCATAAATAAAAAGCCTTTCTTCCATTTCACTCCCAGTGGAGTTAGCTTTATGATTTATTTTTTTCTTCATGAAATGGGTTTCCTCACAGATGACAAGTTTGATGAGGTAACCAAGCAACATGTTAAGTAATGAGAAGAAAAGCTTCCTAGATATGCAATGTATCTTCAGTGCTTAGAACATAATCAGACTTTCCTTTTCTTCAGCCAACTGATATTCACATCCAGTTAATTTCATAGTGAGGATTATCTCTTGATAATTCTAGTAACTTGACCCCTTCAAGCAGAGAAAGGAGCAAATAACTCTTCTGCTATTAAAAGCAGATAAATTGTAAGCTGAAACATGATAAGTGATACACGTTTTTAAAGAAGCAGAGTTGTAACTTGATAGTAGTATTTAGTGTACATATATATATGTATGTATGCATGTATAAACACATATATACATGCATATAATATATATACATTTTATATCTATATTATAATTTTTTAACTGTAGCTTTATTTTATTAGGCTCACAGTAAGCACAAGGTAAAACTTATGCTCTTAGATGAGGAATGTCAAAGACCAAGGCCAATCCAGCCTGATTGTGCTGGCATAGTGGAGATCCTGGCACAGGTGGAGGATTTTTCCTCCTTTAAAGTGAAGGACATCTCAGTTATTCCAGCAGTAGCCAGAGGATGCTCATGTTTCTCTAGAAAGAAGCCTGCCCCAGTGAAAGGAAGACTGGCAAGAGCCTACACAGAAATAAAACAAGAAGATGTTAAGTGAGCCAGGAAGATACAGGAAGATTTAAGGGAAATACAATTTCCTTAATTTAATGGTACTTTTTTGTTGAGAAAAATATATTACTTTTGTCATTCTCAGCAATTGTTGCAGCATATAGTGTCATAGTTTATTCATTTTAAGCACCAAATAAAAACCAACAACCTACCAACAAAAAAAAAAAAATCAAAAAACAAAGGAAAAAAAAAAAACCAAAAAAACCCCACCAAAATCCCAAGAAAGAGGAAGGAAAAAAAAAAAGGAAAAAAAAGATTTCCATACCATCCCACCAAAATCCCAAGAAAGAGGAAGGAAAAAAAAAAAGGAAAAAAAAAAAAGATTTCCATACCATGTCTGTAGGTTTTTCAGCTTGACAAATATGTGATATATCTTGTAAGAAACACATAGCCTTACAGAAACCTGACTGTTTTCTGCATAAATTAACATTCTGTATTATACCAAAATATTTATAGATTTGAAAAAGTAAAGAGATAAAAGCAGCAAGGATCTTCTTGCAAACAAACCAATCATATTTTCTGTCATGGAGAACGCAGTACATTATCCAACTTGCAAGTTCGAGACCTTTTGGAAGGATGTGTATTGTCAGAACAAAGTGCCTTTGAAGTACATATGTGAAATTGTCCAACGGTTATAATTTTAAATAAGAGATCTTTTGGCAAGCTGCAGTGAGTGCTGGAGCTGTCTCTGAGGCACGCACATGCAATTGCCATGGCTGTCAGTGCTAATAAGAAAGGAAGGAACCAGTCAAGGCACTGCAGAAGAAATAGGAATGATTCTGCTGAGAAATAAAACACAAAAATCCACCACCAAAAACAAAACCCCACAAAATCAGCAAAACCCACAATTAAAATCAAACAAAAAGTGCTTCCAGAGAACACTGGCTATCTGGGAAGGCATGAGGAGAATATGAAAAAGGAGAAAGTTATTTCTGAGACTAAAGACAGCAGGAACTGTTTTAAAGATTTGGAAGAGAGAAAACCTGTTTCTTTGCTGAAGTGGCCCAGGGTAATGCTTGGGACTGGAGTGGTTGGATTTTGGGGGCACATCAAAGCTCTGTTCTGGTTATAATCATGCGACATATGCCTGACATATTTCCCTGCTTTGAAACAATCATCAGTAGTCCTTCTATACCAAATCAAATCCTTAAGAAGACCTTCAGACCCACCAGAAATTTGACCCTTTGCATGTGTGAATAAAAGTGGTTTTTTGGAGGACAGTCAGTAACATTTTTTTGAACAATTCAGTAATGTCTTTTGAACTTGGTCCAGAATGAGGAACAAATGGGACGAGGTAGATGTGCAGCAGAACTGAGGAAGCTGTATTCAATTGTCTATATCTGCATACAGGCAGTGAGGTTTAAAGAGATGTGGAGAAAAAATATATACTTTCTCCCTGTTAACTGCCATATTACTCAGCTGTGGATGAATCAAGTATGGGCAAATCTAAAATAAGAAGAAATTATAAGAAATTAGAATTTCCTACCATAACACACTGAAATTAGAATTTCAGTGTGTTACGTAGGTCCTTGGTTGCTCAATTTAAACTAATTAATGAAAATTTTGAAGCACTTTAAGAACTTGGAGTAAAAGAGAGAACCAAATCTGTATAGTTCAACAAAATTAATTGTAGCAAATAATGAAATACAGTACTGGAGGTATTTGACTGAGACATGTTTGAAATCAGAAAATGGAACAGAGAGGCAACTCTTTGGATTTGATAGTTTCTCTAGATAATGAGTTTTTGGAGATAGCTTATACCTAACTTTGGAGAATTAAGGTGTTAAAAACTTGCTTAATACAAATTCTGAATGGATAAATAATGAAGTACAGGAGCACACCTACGATGATTTAAAATATTTATTGACATTATACTCAGTACTGGAATTTAATCATATTTCCCAGTCTTCTGCTTTTGCAGAAGGTATCAGCTGTACTTAGTGCTGTAATGTTCTAGTCATGAAGAGAAGATTGGAAACTTATGCAGTTATAGGTGGCTTTGTGGGTCCAAAAGTAATTTTATCCAAGGAAAGCAAACATGGTAACAAAATGTGTGAACATGTCTGAGGATCAGAAGATATTTGTGGACTCTTGGTCTATAAAAAATCTGAGCTGACCACAAACCATTTCAAGACTTACACATTTCTCCCTGGAAATAACTACTTTCTTGTATTTACTGTAATAGTGACAATTTAATATGAAACATGTTCAGGAAAATTAATAGTAATCCAAATTTGTTCCCCAAGATGGAAACCTTGGGATGATTCAGAGATTAATTTGGATGCCTTTTTTTTTCTTTCCTTGGCTTTGGAGTTTCATTGCATGAAATTGCTTAAACCACTAGAAAACCAGACCAGTTTAATAGTTCAAATCATAAAAAAGATATTTAAATGTATATGAAACATGTATGAGACTTTCAAATAAATTTCTGATTCAGAACTGAATATCCAACGTATGGGTTTGGGTTTGGTTTTTTTTTCATTAAATGAGAAACTTGATAAGTGTGAAAATATATTCCTGTAATATAATGAACATAATTTGTAGTGTGAAGAATACAGGAGCTACTAAGACCTCAAATATCCCTAAAGTGCATATAAAAAGACATCATTAATGACAGTTTGATGGCTCTAAGTCTCAGAGCAAATATATTCCTGTAATATAATGAACATAATTTGTAGTGTGAAGAATACAGGAGCTACTAAGACCTCAAATATCCCTAAAGTGCATATAAAAAGACATCATTAATGACAATACCCTATAGTTTGCTGGCTCTAAGTCTCAGAGGTGAAGGTGCAGTACACTTTCACACACAAGGCTTGGCTGATGGGCACAGCAGTACACATTGCCAGGAGAAATCTGTAATGAAATACCCCATGTTAGGTTTTCTGAGCTGTACAAAAACCCATTTATCAGCCAAGCCCTCTTGATGAATCCTCAATAGCCTTCAGAGGGGATATGGTATGACACACATAGCGATGGTTTTCTCACTGAAGCTCCATGAAGAAACCCAAAGTGATGCAAAATGTTCTTCTCAATATGTATGTTTGGATTTGACAAATCATATCTACTAGTTGGACAAACCATGGTGAAACAGAGAATTGATAATTCAACTGGCTTCCAAAGCACATTTGGTTTGATATTAACTCTTAACAAGAAGGTGATTGCAGAATTTTCTTTATAAAAGAGTTTGTAAAGATTTATATGGACATCACTACTGTGATTTTAAACAATATAAATTGTATAACAATAATTTTATTAATTTCAAAAGAAGTCCTCATGTTCATATCTC